ATCATCATAGATATCAATATGAAAGTGTAACCAGATCCAGTAGTAGACTCAAAAGAATCAGAAGCACTTGACAAGCCAACACAGAAATCAATCCCAGAAATGCACATGAACAGAACAAAAAAGTCAAAAACAAGTCTCAAAACAATGTGGCAGCCTGCTAGGTGGACTACAGAGATACTTACTATAGCTAGGGATGTTAGACTAAAAATTGAAGTCCATTAAATCATGACAAGTTTGCACTGTATTTGGAGAACACAATTTATCATTCAATATGGAAAAAAAATGGAGTCAAAATATAAATCGATTCTCGAGATATTAATTTTTTAATATTTTTATTTAGGGGTATTTCCTGAAGTTTTTGCATATAGGAAATTACAATGTAAGCATGGCACCGAGTGTAATTTAAGCACATAGTAAAGAGTACATACCTCAACATTGCAAGCATTGTTTGATGTGCCACATCTCAAAAAATATATCTTGTTTCTCATTGAAATTTCAACAGAACTTTTCTTCATTATATTCTTTTTATCAACATTTTTAAGAGAAAACTTGAAATTAAATATATTGTTGCCATGGAAACAAAACAAAGAAAATAAGAAAATATTTAAAAAGTAATATACCGGTATTTACTTTCCAGATGAAATTGCTACTCAAAACACTTTGCATTCCAAGATAATGGCAGGGACATCTTTCCACAACATTTAAAAAAATAAAATATAAGGTTGCCATGGCAACAAACAAAGAAAAACAAAGAAAAATGAAGATTTAAAAAAAAAAAAAAATATCACAGGAAAAATGTTTCCTGATAAAATTTGAGGATCGATTTGAGGATCTGGAGGATCGCTGATTTTCAAGTAAAGATTTTCAAATAATCAGCGATACAAATATAAGATGATATTTCAATGTAAACTTGGATTAAAATTCTGGCAGTCATGGTGGAAAAATATATCAATTCCAAGTACATGTAAAATTGCTTTTTGATAAAGAAAAACAAATATGGTAAATGTCCAGAAAACCTCTTGTAATGTTACAAATGTATCAGGAGAATAATACCTGTATATTTACAATTACAGCTGAGTCACTAGAATTGCTCATTTCTACGTAATTTCCCTCGAAACAGTGTTTAGTTTCCCTTGAAACATTGTTTTAATAATTTCTTGTATTTTATCTTTTTTAAAGAGGGAGTTTGTACACTTAGAAGAAGAGCCACATGCTGGCGCTTACAATGGAAATTTCCACGTGCGCGCACGTGGCCATTGCGGCTTGATGATAACATCACGCTTTTCTTTCATTTATACTTCCTCCCGGCATTTCACTCGTACACGCATTCAACATTTCAACTTCTTTTTCTATAATAAATACTGAGTTTTTGCTTTAATAATGGAGTCTTTAATTATGAAAAACTTATATTCAACGTTTGTAGTCGATCAAAATTCTCAATTTATCCATGGAAAGTAGTTTCTAGCTGCAAATATTTCGTTCGGTCCGTACGTGTTCAGCACAGAATCACCAGGGGTTGAGGGCGAGTGTCAAGACTTACGGTTGTTCAGTCTTGGGTAGTATACATCTGAAGTTTGTGATTATCTGTAGATGATCCTGAAGGAATTTCCCTTAGATTTTTGGCTCAAAGATAGCTTGGATATCACTTATAAATATACTAACATTGACTTTTGCAAAAAGTTCATTTTTATAAGAAAAAGATCGCTATAAATTGGAACTTTTTTTTACTGCTCAAATATATTAAAAGTATGGGGTAGGCAAAAAAGTCAACGCGCATGGTCAACTTTTCTAAGTTTCATGAATGGCATGTCCAAATTTGGGCATTGTGTGACCCCGGGATCACCTCCAGATTTCGATGTAAACATGCGCAGTTTTTCAGAGAGTCACAGAAAAGCAGTGCCATGGCTGCTGCAATGCCTTTCAAACGCTTGCAAAGGGCCAATGGGCGAATTAGAGCTCATCTTTACTGCCATATTTTGATTGATTCTACGATTCTACTTGTGAAAAAAATGCTTCCAATATTGGAATACAACTTTAATCTACAGTAATTCTTAATCAATTAGTTCTTTCCTGCTAATTTTGATTTTTAATGAATTTTTAAAGATTGCATGTTTTTATTTCGACTACAATCACCGTTGGCTCGTACGCACATTGATGGCTCGATTTCAGGATTGCAGCGCGAGCGTCTGACATCCCTACTATAGCCTATCTTACTATAGACCTACAGACCAAGGGGACATGTTTGCAAAGAGTACCCCTGACAGTTCCATCAATACAAAGCATGAAAATTCATGGACACACACTCCACATGCCTTACATGAGAGTTGGCAAACTGACAAACACAAAGCTGTCCTACTTTCAACAAGGTTTGAACAGTGCCCGTCTGAAGATTTAACATTCCTCTTGGAATCCCTGATCACCAAAACTGCATCGGGACTGAGAAGGTGACTAGCTCTATGCCTCCTATCTATATCATTGATCCGATGAGACTTCTTAGCTTTCTCCAGCTTTATCAACCTGTCAAACAAACAATCGTGGACAAACTGGGTGAGAAGACTGATGCATTTATCAACCCTGCGATTGGTAAAGCCCTTCATGTAGATATACTCCCAAGGTGTGATGGAACCCTTCCTGAAACAAACAGCCCACTGAGGCTTCCTTTCAGCATACAAAGCAAAATACTCTCCAAACCTTTGTGTTGTCTCATCCTCCATGAAATCCGATGTGCCTCCTCCAGGAGACACAAGAGTCTTGTAGATTGAAGATTGCAACTCTGCATTACCAGGGATATGAGAACGTCTTCTTGACCTACAGCCAATATAACATTACGAGATAGCCATGCTGCTTTTTTCATTACATAACAATATAACATTACGAGATAGCAGTGTTACTTTTTTCATTACATAACAATATAACACCATGAAACAGTTCGGAGCTGTTTTGCCATTTCCATGAAGTACAGCCAATATAACTTTAGGAGACAGCCATGTTCCCATTTTCATTACATAACAATATAACATTATGAGGCAGCTCTGATACCATTTACATGTACATTGAATAAATCCAATAAAACATAATACGAGACAGCCCTGTTGCCATTTTCATCACGTACAGCCAATGTAACACTTTGAGGCAGCTGTGCTACAATTTTCCTTACATAACACTAAGAGACAGCCCTGTTGCCACTTTCGTGACATATATCACTCTTATATGCACATATCACTTAAATATGACTGCAGTTAAAAAGTTTTCATTGACAGGTTATGCTACATATATCCACCCTTGAATCCCACGATGTTGGCTATCATGTGTACCTTGTATATCGTAATTTAAAAATAATGTGAACAATAATTTACTAAAAATGACTGGCCTATGCGTCTATAGCTACATTCTTCAGCCAGCCGTACATAGGTATTTGTACATCTAGTTCTATTTGTGAACTACATTTAGTCTTTCTATGATATCCAAGGACTATAGTTGATCTATCTTGATTTTGGGTATGCAATTCTGCCTTTAACCTCTCACAACATGTAATCTATTGCTGAAGGATATTTATTCTTATTCTGTTCGGCCATTGTTGCAAAATATCCAATATAAAAATGTGAATTTGTTTAGTTGAATTTCCAGTTGCCGATAGTATGCAGGAGCTAATATACGGCACTCTACACACACAAAAACACACATACATTTCTGAAATTATCTGATTTATAGCAGACGGTAACCATCTTTGGATACTTTAGTGAATATTTATACCCATCTGTATGAAAATGTGATTATAAATGTCCTTTACCCTATGATGTAGGTTACATTTCAGTTTTTTTTTCCCCTTATAGTGAAGAACAGGGGAGAGGTTAAATATAGGATGAAAAATTGAGAGAGAAGGGAAGAGAAAGAGGAGGATACAGAAATAATAGTGATAAGTAAAAAAAAAAAAGTAGGATACGGACATTAAACATTCAAAACCCTTAATGAAATATCCTTGTTTTCTGCAACTGGAATTGGTATTTCCTGGCCTTAATAAAAGTCCTTACATAACAATTCATTCCACATCACTAACAGGTCTTTAGTAATTTTCTCAGGGTTATAACACTGTCTCTGTAAAGACAATATCACAATGTCATGAAGATCTAAAGCCTATTATTGTGTCAAAGAAATTTCTGTTTATGAATCTAACAACTGCAATGAATTGTACTGATTTTGTAACCTCTTTCTTTGCGAATTGAAAATAAAAGGAAGTGAATTTTTCAAGTAATATTAACTACACCAGCGTCTGGTTTTTGTTAATTGTGTTTTATGTGTATTAAGTGTGAATAATGTTTGTTAAATTGCACTTAAATAGTTAGGATTTGTTTAGGACAATTATATTAATGAAGAGCGCTATTTAGCTTGCTTTAGTTAGAGCTGAAGGTGATCAGTAGTCGAGGATGGAGTAATTTACACATGTTAATGTGACACTATCTCACATGATTATGAAAATTGGGTGGATAGTGATTCTTTACAATTTAGTTATATTTGGATGCCCCTGTGGATGTTTTATATGCACTAGAAAATTTAGCTCCTAAAACACTTCTGCTTTTGAGAAAAATTGAATATAAAAATTTACTGGTGCTCCTTGTAAATTTTGATGAATTTCAATTAGCCCCTACAGCCGTACAATGGTAGCTGCGACCATGAAAATCTCAGAATATGTAGTTGTGATATATAATTTCCAAACGGGAATAGCTAATCGGTCGATTTTAGTCAAGAAACATTATTTGATAGCTTAATTAATATGCTTGAGAGGGAGCTATACAACATAAAGAGTTTATTATTTACAATTTCATAACTTTAGACTCTGTTTCAACAGGACAAAGATCACTGAATATTGTAGGATTGCATGCTTCCACTATGTTCATTTGAACCAAATTTATGACCCCATACCAAAACTTTGTATTACCTTTAAAGTTCCTCATGCTCTATTTACATTTAAAATAAATATTTTAAAGAAATTTATTCATTTGAATATCATGTTATGTCCTTTTTATTACATTCAATTCAGTGTTCTGTATTTTTGTTAATTTTTTAAATGTAGAATACTAATTAAATGCCAAAAGGTAGAAGATAATCATACAATCAATATTGTTTCTGTTATAAAACTGATAAACCATAGGCACAGCCCTGGTAGATAATTGGAGTGTAGACACTATGGAGGGCACATTCTAAAATTAAACTACCTATTAAGAAGACAATATAAATGTTTTAAAGCCTAATGAAACTCCTGGATGAATGTTTCCTAACTGCTAAAAAGCAAGAAAAAAAGAAATGAAAGAAAAGAAAGAAAGAGCAAAACAGAAAGAGCTAAAATAGAAAGAGCTAAAAAAGAAAGAATTGAAATGCATGGTGCATAGTACATATAGTTCTCTAGATTCATTTGTCAGTTGGGATAAAAGATATGTTGAAATTTGAAAAGAACCATTCTGTTTTTCACCTAATCCGATCAGTAATGTTAAAAGGGAGAAAACTCTGATTTTTGTAATCCAGACACAAAGTTTAAATGAACCATTGTGTTGACCCATTGGAAGAAAGGGCTGTTCAATACTCCCAAGGGTTTCAAATTTCTTTTCATCAAGAATTATCCCTCTTTCTCCTCTGAGAAAAAACTGAATTACAGAGATGAGATTTGACACTCGCGCCCCTGTGCAGTAAAGAAGTCAGACCTTAAGTTTGTTTGCTCTCAGATCAAGTCAACACGTTGTGGAATTGAATAAAAAGTCTTGATTGCATTTGGGAATTGTATGAATGAACTGGCTTGGTGACTCACTGCTGTAGGTTCTAGTAGGACAAAGGTCTTTATTCTCTCATCAATATGAAAACAGTGGTGTCTCTTCGGAGAGGAATATTTGGACCCTAGCTAATGCAAGCTTTATCACCTGAGAGCTCATTCTATCCATTAGTTTTGTTTTATGCATTTGGACTTGCCGCCTCATTTTCCAACAGCTGCATGTGTACATGTAAGTTTTCATTAACATCCGTATTAATGCATTTCTGTATTTATGGACAACTGTTAACAAACAATTTCTATTCTGATTTATAAACATGAAGACTACTTTTATTGCACCTATCATAATACTGTTGCATTTTGTCATTGTTTGATGCTAAAAGTTGATTAACTTTAATACAAACATACAGATTATTTTGACAGTCCCTACAGATAAGATTGACAACTAAGCAAAATCAATAATTTAGGCAACAAACATACTGAAACATTAATAAATGGTTCTCTAGGCTACTAGCATATCTGTTTTTTTCCCTACAATTCTTAATGAGTTATTTTGAAAATGTTTGAAACAGAGGCCTAGGCTATTATGTAAAGTTTCTGAGGGATAGCACTCTCTACTAAATGCTTTTAAATATATAAAATGTTTCACAGGAACTGTTTTCATCCAATTTTTTTGTTGTTGAATTCATAGTTATTGAATCTGCCTGTAAAATGTCCCCCACTTAACCTAGGGTATCCTAATGTCTCATACTAATATGTAGGGAATAAGGGGATCCTGAGGCATCTACTTGTGCTTGAGGAAATGTTTTTATATTTTGAGAGTTTGATTTCCTTTGAATGTGACTTTGTGATACAGAGAGAGAGAGAGAGAGAGAGAGAGAGTGAGAGAGAGAGAGAGAGAGAGAGAGAGAGAAGAGGAGCAGCAGCACAAACCAAGAAATAAGGTGTATATAAGGCCTGTAAACTGAAAGATTGCAATGCTTTTTAATCAAGATTAAGGCATTCATTTACTCATCAGGAAAATTAGACTTATTGTCTTTGTGTATGATTTAAGTCACATAAAAAGAACATGTCGATCAAATATGTTTTTGTGTACGAGTGAACTTTTACATATATACATCAAACATTTTAAGTGAACCACAGTAAAACCACAACATGTGGTTTTTCACCTAATATCCTCAATAAAAAGATCATAACATTTTTCCTGTCACTCTTGTCATATTTTCTACCTGTTACTGTAGCCTAATGCTTACATGAATAACACAAAAAGTTTTATGGTACAGGTTGTTTGTTTAGAAAGAAAAGAAGCCTTCAAATGAACAAGCAATTTAATTTTCCTCTTGGCTGCTCATGCACAGTGCCAACAGGAAAAGGAAATAGCACCTCTCTCACTCTTTCCGTCAAGCAGTCTCCGTCAGATTTCTTTTTTTCTCTCTCGCTAGCCATGTTTTTGTCTTGTTTGTAATTGTATGTTTCAATGTCTTTGTTTTGGTCTTAATGACTGTCTCAGACAGAGACAGGCTCTTAACTTCATTTGCCCTTTTCTACTCACTCTGTGCCCATTTCCTCTCTTCCTCCTGCCTCTAAAAGACATACAAGTATACATTTTTACTATTAAAGCTCACATTTCCACGCAGCTAGGAGAAAACATTATTAAAAAAATGCATACATGTACATACTTGGCATTACAATTGCAATTTATATAATGGGGTGGTGCTTTAATAAATGTTCTTGTTATGTACAAGAAGATAATCTGGAAAAATCACTTACTGAAAATTAGACATTTCCTTTGAATTGTAAAATAGGTGATGATTATGGCCATTTGTGTTTTTGCTATTGTGCAGTTGTGGAATGGATGGAGAAAACATTTAAGGAATTAAAACTATATAACAAGAAACTTTCAAACATTTAAAGAAGGCTGTAAATATAACTTTATGGTCAATTTAATCACTTTCATCTTAATATATTTGAAAGAATTGAACAATTGAAAGAAGAAAACAAACCCTCCATGATCCATCACAAGCTTTAAGCCATTCCAGTAATTCCTGAAATAGAATCTGAAGATGTGTTACTGAAGATTGTGCACAGCATATCACAGAACATGATCACAGAGTGAGTCATGTCCAAGAATGTGATTGGTGGAAAGTCCATCCTTCATGAATGGTTTGATCCATTTTGGGGGGAGGGGTGATATGTTTGCAGTACTGTTACATTATTTTAGAGGAAGGTGACCTTGCTCATGTGATGCTCCTTATAGCTTGATGATGGAAATGATAAGAATAGAATGAAAAGGAGTGACAGAAATGAGAAAAGGAGAGCAAGAGAGGAAGAGAGAGATAGAGAGAGAAAGGGGAAAAGAAAGAGAGAGATAAAGAGGGGAAAAGAGAGATAGAAATAGAGAGGGAGAGAGAGGTGGGAAACATCGAGATCAGAGATGTGACATGGGAATTAGAAGAGAGATGAAATTTACAGAGTTTAAAGCCTATCTGCACTAGTTTGGCCAGGAGGGATTAGACCTCCCTGCATGGTCACTGACAATTGGTTATCTCATCAAATCAGCTCTCAATTAACATGAGAAAAAGGGGACCATGGGGGACCAATGGTCACCGATTAGGCATTGTTTGCGATATAGAGGGCGCTAGTAGCTATATGTAGTGCATTTGGGCTTTAAGAGAAGGCAGATTAAAAAGAAACTAAAGGGATAGGAGAGGAAGTGGGGAAGAGAGAAGGAAGCTGAAGAGGGGGGCTTTGATAATGAAGTCTAAGCAAGGTGAAGAGAGATTAAAAACGAAGGTTGCAAGGTGGATCGGGTCAAAGATAACAAAGGGAAGACCAGATAATAGAGCTACCAGAAGTAGTGAAAGAGGGTCGTTAAACCACAGTACTAAACAAATTGAGCAACCTACTGGGACAATTTCTTATTCTTTTGAGTACAATTGATTTCTTTTTGTCAACTAACAGTGACAGTTGATTGACATTCAGGATGGGGGAAATGCAATCAGGTTGTTTAATGGTGGCATAAAAATACAGGCTAGACAGATGACACCCAATCATGCACAAAATTGATATCTACTATCTATCACCCTGGTGCAATTCTGTCTCCCCCTCTACATAGAATGAGCTAATCTGTCTGAACGATTGAGGTTATAGCTAGCTACAGGAATTGGGTCTGGGCTTCATCTAGATTAGACCAGGGTTTGTAGCCGAGGTAGATGGATCATTTTGGAAGCTGAGCGCTTGGCGACTGGGTCGACCGACATCAGAACATTTCGAGACATAGATCCTTTGCTCGGATATAAGGTGTCATCTACTTGTGCGGAGAGCTGAATCCAGAGGCAAGGACCTGTCAATCTCATTCTGGAGCTCGTTAAAGTCCTGCCTCAAATCTTTGGAGGTTATTCCTAATTTGCTTTATGGGAAATGACGCATGTCTGAAGGACGCAAAGGATTATTTACATTAAGGTATGTTGATTAGTACATTGAGTGATAACTTCATGCTCTTTTGATCATCACATAAATGTTTGGTTTTTTTCAGTTGAAAGGGAACGCTCCGTCTTTCATGGCCTGGAAAAAAAATCTAGAGTTGAATAACTTTTCAATCTTATTAACTTATGATTGTTCAAAATAAAAGACTTTTATTTATTGAATAATATTACCAGGTCAGCAGGCATTTTGTACACATTTTTATGACCTGCAAACTGTCTTGTGAAATAGGATAGACAATTTTTCTTGTTTAGCAAGTCAGTCGATGTTGGTGATGTATATGAACATTTTGTAGAGTATATCTTCCTTTCTTTTTTTCTAAGCATTGCTATTATCACATCACATTTTCATCCTGCTTGTGAATTATGCAAATTGAACATGCACTGTGTTTTAAAACTTTTATGAATGTTTAAATCAGGTATATATATATATATATAATATATGCACCAGTTTATGACATTGGTAATGTTTCTTTTTATTTCTTCTTCAGGAAATGAGCTCCACAAAGGAAGGAAAAGGAATGCTTGAGGATTACGTTTGATGTGTCTCTGGTTGCCCTGGGAGTCTGTCTCGGCCCGATCGATCGTAAATGGAACCATAAACAAACATAGGAAGAGAATATGAAATGTGTGAGGTGTTCCTAATTCTTGCACCATTTTAAAACCATTTTAAAACCAAGACTGAAGTCGATGGAATGGAATCATAAACAAACATAGGAAGACAATATGAAATACGTGAGGTGTTCCTAATTATTGCACCATTTTAAAACCCCAAGACTGAAGTAGACGTCCTGTGACTCGTCGTCGATGCTGAGCAAGAACAGCAGAACATCTACAGCCATGGGTGGGACTAGGAGACTTTTCGTCTTCGGGCTTGAGCTGCTGGTCCTCTTGAGCCTTGCCACAGCCCAATTGATGCCATTCACCTTCCCCTGTTCATACAGCAGTGCATCGGATGAGGGTGGAGATGAGGAAGGAGAAGTAGCACTTTCCATCAGTATCCATGGCAACCCCAGTCACTATGTTCCTCAAGATATATACCAAGGTAAGGTGCCTCACATTATATGGATGAAACAAAATTCTATGGTGACGAAAAATATACATTTCATGAATGTGACTGAAAAGAGATTTGAGTGTATAATATATGTTAATGACAAAGTATAATCTGATAACAAGAAATAAAATGTAATAAAGTAAATTTCTCTTATATGGGGGAGGCAAGGAAACTTAGGGGCTATTTGGCAGCTAAACATATCTTTGATGAAATGTTTTGGAGTTTTCTGCTTGCAAATGTTTGATGATTATTATAAAGTTGTGTTGGTACAACCTCATTTTCAAATCGTTATGATATAATTACATCTTTTTTGTATTATGTTCAACTACCTAAAGTATAATAAGTAACTTTAAAGGAATGGAAATCAGATACTTCATAACAATACGACTGCATGAACCTCATGCGTGATACAGGTTGTACTGGGTAGGGCAGTGCCCTCTTTATGTAGTAAGTGAATTAGCATATAATATTACAGTTGGGGATTTTTACGTCTGATCCAGGTAAGTCTCAAGATATTGCATGTTTCCAGATACTCAGGAAACCGTAGCATTGTGACTAACCCCCAACAGTTCCAACAGCTCTAAAAAGAGGAACTCATCAATTTCAGTGGACTTTCCCCCACCACAGACAGTTCACCTGTTTGTCAAGCGGTTTTGTTGCTTTAATCGGTAAAATCAAACAATGTAGTTTCCTGGGTGGCATGGACTGATTATCATGTTTGCTAGGTGACATACCATTAGTTGGTTGAATAAATATGGTTATCGCTGCTTAATGCTCATTTGCAAAATTATGTTGTGCTCCACCTCATGATTTGGTGTACCTGTTGGTTTCGACATGGCAAAGGTGTAAAGTACACTTTATGCCCTCTTGCTTGAACAATGACACAGTTCTTTAAGTGTTGTGTAATACCGATATAACCATTATTTGTTCAAATGTAGGTATTTAGGGTGTACATATATATGATGTGTTAAAGGTGCTTTCAACAACATTGTCAAATATGGAAATCATTCAGAGTTTGCAAACTTTAATGCTTTCATATATTTATATACTGCAGCTTCAAGACTGGAAAGAAGCGTAGCTAATCAAAATGAAATATTAGCAAGCTAATTTTAAGTTTTAGATGGCTTAAAATTCCACTGTTATTTGATGCAACAATCTGATGTTATGTTATGTCATTGTTATTGCAACAAACTGTACATAGGGTATTTTTCTTTCTTTGGATTAATACTAAATTATTCATACCGATTGTTTTTTGTGATTTTTTAACTCAAGAATGAAAGGTGTACTGGTTGAATGAGGGCCTTTAATTGTTGAATACCTTTCAATACATTCTCAAAAAACATAAATCGGGACGAATCAATTTTCCACATACTTGAGAAATTTCAAAATTTGGTATTGGGTATGAATAATTTAGTTAACTGTATGTACATTGTAACTACATTTTGGTTTTCCCTATACCGGTAAGTATTTTAGCCCAGCAAATGTCAGTTGGTACAACACATTTTTTCCAGTGATTATCTGGGTTTTTCCACAAACTCTCGGGTGTCTAGGGTTATCAAAGTGAAAGCTATTAGATGCGCTTTTCAGCCCTATGAATGTAAACAGTTTGAAGGAGGTGAAGACTGATTGGATGAGAGTTTACAGGTCAAAGGTCAACATAGCTGTCACCTGCTATCTCTGACAAGTGATAAACTCTGTGGAGTATTTGAACATTTAACTAATGGGTGTATTAACCACAGCCTGGGTGTTTGGTGAGTAAATGTATAGAGAGATTTACATGAAAGTTTATTGAAATGTTTTCTTTGCCATCAATGATATCTTCTGATAAACACAAAATAGTCATACCCCAGTCACTCACAGTCACACTGCCAAACCAACTCCAAGCTGTCGGATCTTGGCCATTTGGGTTAATGTCATTTTATTTGTTTGGCCTGCATGTGTTGTCACTAGTCTCTTACGTGGGACCAGGGTCCTGTTTCATACAATTATTATCAATAACAAGTTTCAATAATTGTTATAGGCTACTGAAATTACTAGATTTTATTGGTTGAGAGCACAATTTTGTATAGAAATATAACACTTCGCTTTTTTTTAATGAACAGTTTTATTCCGCCCTTTTCCTTTTTTTTCTTCTCTAAGCGCATAGGGACTTTCTTTGTGTGAGTGATATGCGATTATGCGCTATACAAATAACGTTCATTATTATTATTATTATTATTATGAGACAGGTCCCTGGTATTATCAGATTGATAAATTTCAATTTCAGTTTGGACCTTATGTAAATGTTTAAGATACAAACAAAACATTATTTAAGTGCTTATTTCTGAGAAAGAAGATTTGGACCAATTGAATTAACTTTACCCCCCCCCCCCCCCTGCCACCCATCTCTCCACCCATCTCTCCCTCCACTAGATCATGATGTACCTTACATTTCAAGTAATATCTTTTTAGGCAGGCACTTTGCACATGATATATGAATTTGAGATGTGAACCAAGAAATTTCATGAGAAATACATCGATGGTAAAGAGTTAGGCAGGTGGATTAGTTTTTATGCGATGAGAATGGTTTTAACTGGAGTAGGGCTGACGGTAGTAATAGGCTGAGGGATTATAAACTGGCACCATTCTTTCATCAAAACTTCTCATGTTCATTCATATCATGACATATTTTTAGAGTTCACAGTGAGTATATTCACATTGCAGCATATCTTTGTGGTTAGTCAGTACTACAACTATGACCTCACAAAGAACAGATAGCATGCAAAGTAGAGTGTCTTTCTGACTTTTCATACATGGTGTATCCGATGTTAAAAGGCCTATAAGGTCATTTCAAGAGTAAAGTGAAGTGCAAGAGGAAGAGTGCATGAACAGAAGTTAGATAAGAATTGTTTGCTTAGAAACTTTACAAGTTAATGTAGTCCTAATTTCCATGGTTCCAAATGTTTTTCAAGTAGTACTATAGTAGTGACTTCACCTAGGTGCAAGTGATCAGTCTCTACGAACCATCTACAACCCAAACACTACCACAACTATAAAGTTTTGGTCTTCTTAATCTTGCACCATCTGTTTGTACCATTCATCCATCAGTATCATAGTTTGTCAGATCAGAGTTTCTTTCATAATGTTTCATAGTGTTCTTTCAATTCATTCGGTGACACTTTCTAGCAATAATGACTTTACCCAGGTACAAGTTACCAGTGTCTTTGAGTCCTCTACGACTCAAACAGTGCAAATTTCAAGTTATGGTCTCTTGAGTCAGGACTGCAACATCAGTCTGTACCGTGATCCATCAGTATCATAGTTTTTAGCTTAGAGAGGATTGATAAATAAAGAGCAAACATTTGTTCATATCTTTCAGTGACACTTTCCAGCAGCAGCGACTTTACCCAGGTGCAAGTGATCGGTCTCTATGAATCGTCTACGGCCCAAGCCCTGCCACAACTATCAAGCTTTGGTCTCCTAAGTCCTGCATCCTCAGTCTGTACCATGATCCATCAGTACCATAGTCTGTCGGCTCAGAGACACAGCACCTTCCTGTGGATTGCACCTCCTGCTGGTACAGGCTGCATCAATTTCATGTGAGTTTACGTTTGATTTCATTCCCACTTCAAGATTAAAGGCATCATTTAAAGGCCCACTGCACTACTTGTAGCTTCTTGCGCCCTCTATACAACAAACAATGCCTAATCGGTGACCATTGGTCCCCCATGATCCTCTTTTTTTTATGTTAACTGAGAGCTGAGTTGATGAGAAAACCACCTGTCCAGTGACCTTGTAGGGCGGTCTAAAGTAATCCATCCTGTAAACTATGGCAGATAAGCAAGCTTTAACAATGTTAAATCCAAGATGGATGGCCGTATGTGTTATCAGTGTCTGTGATATGGTGTAATATTAAAGCCCTAAAAAAAGAAATGCTCTTCAAATATCATGAAGTGCCTCAAAAAAGTTTAAAATCTTTACCATACTCATTTTTGCCAATAGACTGTAGTGTTATAAAAACTGTTAGGAAAACAAATTCTGAAATTTCTAATTCCAATCATAGATATCTTGATAATCAAACAGGCGATTGGCTTGTAAAAATCATGGGATTCATGTATGACCTAAAGGTTTATAATTATGATTGCAGCATGAGCTAAATCCAGGATTTTTTCTTTTAGAATCATGTGGCAAAGTTACCCAATCCCTTTAATGGACAGCACAGATTAAAGTAGAAACCCATGACCTGGTATAGTACGATGTACTAGTATACATCCTTGGATGTATATTTCCTTGGAGCAACTTTAGTATACCTCACCACAAAAACTGACCAGACGTTCGTAGGGTGCCAAACGCTTCACCAATGAAGCTAAACCTGAAGATTTAAGTTTCTTAAGTGACACTAAACCTAATCCTAACCCTAACTCTAACCCTTACCCCAACCTTAACTCTAATCCTAGATCTTCAACGTCTATGTACATTAACCCTATTGGTGGGGTACCTATTCTAAAATTAAGCCATTTCTTGTAAAGTATAATGGAAATTATGAAAATACAATACATGAAGGAAAGCAACAGAAACCTGCTTTTCAAACTCAAATCATTTCAATCACCATCTTCATTTACAACACTTGTGTTTCAAACTTGTTATTGCTTCACATTTTTTCAATATCCCCATTCCCTAATTTTAATTACTTTCCTTTTTTTCCTGCTAGATTTTCCCCTTTCTTCCCATTTCTTATTAAACTACACTACAGTTCACAATGCCAGACTAAATACTGGGTTAGGTGGTAGGTCTATGGTTATACTAAGATGATAGAAGAGTATCACAACACAATTAACCATCTAGAAAACCCTCTTTAGAAATTCATGACAGTCTCTTGTTATCTCACTCAAATTCCACATAAAGCAGGTTTGCAGCAACCTGTAAACAGTGCATTCATTCTTTCTTCAGTTATATCAAAGTTTACTCCTTTTTCTGCCCTATAGTTCTCTCTCTCCAAGCCATCTTCCCACCTTCCTGTCAGGATAATTTCCTCTGATTTGTGAGGAGCAATCACCCCAAACAATTGTGGTTTTGCAGGCTCCTGGGTGTTTGCAAACCTAGCCAAGAGCTGTGGTAAATACTGTTTCCTGTCCAATTGTTTTGTTCTAGGCTGTTTAAACAAAAAGTACTGGAGCAGAAAGGGTTTTCTTTCTAATTTGATTTTTTTGAGGAGAGAAAAAAAATCTTAAATACGTGTATATTAAAACCCTTGTGCTGCCTATGAAAAGTTATATAAAAGTGGAAGATAAATTTAAAAGAAATTGTTTTTCTCTTCTTAGCAAGATCTTTAAGTGGCTAGTTTTAAGGGGGAGGAAAAGAAGTGTGTACCAGTAATATTCTTCTTTCCATGAAATGGACCTGTAATATAACCTTATGTTCACGTTTTGGCAGTTATAGTTGGTTTGCTTCATTTAAAGCAAAAAAAGCCCAAAGTAGATCAAAATTTCATTTAGTTTCATGGTGACTAATGACTTGCTTTTTTAAAAGTCTGTAATTTAGCTGATCTTTCCATCCATACACCGGTACAATTCTTTTCAAGGAGCTCATTATTGGACAAAATTAACATCTATTTACAAAATTCTTATTTTTTTGTTCAGTACTAATTATAAACCTCATGATTAAGTAAACTGAATTGAAACTGTAATCAATTTCTTCTTTAAGAAATTGGCAGCTATCTTGGACGTGATTTCCTTTTTCTTGATTGACCTTTTGGTACTCTAAAGCTTTCTCTCTCTCTCAAAAATAAAAAATAAAATTACCCCAAAAAGAAAAAAGAAAAAATTAGAAAAAGATCAAGTCACCTCCCTTCCTAATTGTATACAGTAGAACTAACCACCTTGCATCCGACCTTGCGACCTTGCGTGTCATCTGAACTTTGAGCTAGATTAAAATAAGATACTTTTTGTTTTGCAGAAATCCTTCCTTATTAATTTGCCAGTCCATTTCAGGTGTCTCTAGCATGGTCAAACTGATTTCCTCTGCATCTGTTACAGTCTGCGGTGTCCAGTAAGACAAACGCAATGTATTGGCCAATGAGTAATAGACAAGGTCACATTGAAATCTTTAAAAAGAAGGAGATCTGTTATTTCCCAAAAAGATTTAAAGAGAAGGTCGAGTTCTGGGAAGAGGTGAAAAATAATTTGTGAGCGTTATCAGTGTTATTATGCAAGTGTGGAAAAACATCAGATAAATCATGTTCCCTGAAAAGCATGGGTCTTCAAATGCATTCATATTCTAAATATGGCATGTAACATCGTAAAAATCAGGACGGATTTTTACGCCACGTGTTCGTGTAGTCCCATATACATCTTTCTGTGTACAGAGCTTGTCACTTTACCAAGACGTGGCCAAATTTCTTATCATTTTGATGATTCCAGAACCTTGCAATATGCTAGATGATCAACCTTTTCTGATCGATTCCACACCGTTTCTATTACAATGCAATCGCATGACCAGAACTCAACTTCATCTTTAAATGCTCTAGGGCTGTTTCTTACCAAAAAAAGAAAAATCTCATTTAATTGAATTGCATGTGATTTTTGGAGTTAAGAATGACTCAACATCTTTCACTTTTGTGTCATTTTTGTCATTCCACTTTAACGAATGTTCATGTTCACCTTTAAAACAGTGTGTTAAATATAATGTTTGGTGAAAATAGCCAATTATTTCTAAAATTGTCCATAACGAGGTCCCAAAGGAATGCATGTCTCTGACATCAAGTCACTGTTTTTCATTACACATGAAATGATTGTGTTTTGTAACTGAATTGCAAGGCATAAAACAGTGGAAACATTAAAATGTGATTGACATTTATCAAGGCTGTTTTATGTTTGATCTTTTTCATAGCTTCTTGGTTCCCCAAGGATATTTATGTTGCCCCTGACATTTATGTACACAGAATTCTCTCAAATGTTGGCAGCCGGCATTCTCTTCCTTTTTATTTTTCTGTCTTTACCCTAGAAATCTCAGACGAAATAACGATTTAGGATGATATCTTTTAGCTCATCTTTGACCTTCATTGTTTGATCCAGACGACTTCCAGATGTTTCGAGCTCTTAATGGTTATTTTGAGGTGTTGGGGTTTTTTGTTGTTGATATTTTGTATTTATTTGAGATCATTTGCAGGTTTCAAGGCAAGACCAAGATTGTTGCGTTAGCAAGATTTGAAAAAAAAATCTATTTGATCCATAGAGAAAGTATGAAAATTGTCTTTAAAAATGTCTCCATCTTTCTATCTGTTACTTTTTTTCTTTGACTTTCTCTTTTGATCTTTCTCATTTAATAAGTCATTCAAGTTCTTATTTCTTTTAACATCTAATCTTTTCTTCTTTGCATCCACCTCATAATTCATATTTTTTTCTTAGTTTGAATCTTAATCTATGTACCTCATTTTTTGTACTCTTGTAAGATAATTGACTTGGTCAATTTATTTCAATGATCTATTTTCTGTTTCTATACTATCCTACCCCCTCTCTCTCTCCCTCTCTCTCTCCCTCTCTCTCCCTCCTCTCCCTCTCTCTCTCCCTCTGCTGTCGCCTCCATTGACTCCCTTCTTACTTCTCTGTACTTTTTGCTTTGTAATTTTGTCCCACAACTTGTCTCCCTTTTTGTATATGACATGCAGTATAACTCAATATCTTTTCTAACTCTCATCTCTCTCTCTTTCTCTCACTCACTCACTCTCTCTCTCTCCATCTCTCTCTCTCTCTCGCTCTCTTTCTCTCTCCTTTTCTGCTATCCTCAGGGTGACAGCAGTGTCCTACCAGCATCTTCTTTTCAAGGATGTGATGGCCCTGCAGCTCTGTGAGGCAGGCATGCCTACTCCATCTCCCTTCAGACCACAACTAGGTAAGAAAGATATAGTTATCATATTACATTTCATATACCACATACCAAGAGGGCATAGTTCAGTTACGAGATCACCTTGGGCAATAGTTTTAAGTGCGACCCTCAAAGCAGTCAATATTTGTATGATATGCAGTAAATGCTGTAGTTGCATGAATACAAAAAAATATAATATATATATATATATATATATATATGATGTCATGAATTTGTTAACTTATGTATATTTACAGGTGTACTTATGATATTTCACTTAGAATGTTCAACTTTTATTTTAAGGTTAAGTAGCTCATTTTCTTCCTCTCCTTCTTTTCATTCCTCGTTTTCTTTTCATTCATTTTCTAGCAATGATACACAGTGATGGGGTGATTCTCAGAGATGACTTTGATTCTTCACCTGAACTGGACTACACAATATGGTAAGGATACCAGTAGAAGTAAAGATATGTTTGAAATCATGATCTTACTTCCCCTCATTTTATTTTTTATTTTAGTTTGTTTTTATATCTGCACCATATATCTTCACTTGTTTGTTATTTTTGTTAGTTGCATAATCGTTGTACTCCATCCTTTCTTTCTTGAATCATTCTACAGTAAATTTGTTCCAAAGTCATCTTTCCATTTTTCTTGTTAAACTCTGTCTTTCCTGCTGCCTATCTTTTTGTGTATCCCTGTGTTTCTATGGTGCTTTACATCTCTGTAACTATATATATATTTCCACAAATCTATATCAACTATCCTTTTATGTTTATTTGTTATCTTTTGACTTCCTCTATGTATTATTTTTTGACTTTGTCCCTTGTTATTTAATGACATAGGTCAGAGATATATGGAGGTAACATCAGTGATGCGTGTGGGGCTGTCCTTCATGGCAACTCCGCCCTATTCTGTGATTCCTTTGGACAGCGAGAGCTCAACACCGTTCATCTTAACACAACTACTGCTTCAGCTCTCCAATTTGCCATCAGTAAGAATCTAGTCATCTCATATTATTTCAATTTTATTTCTTCATTATGAAGACTTAAAAACACACAATGACACATGCACATGAATGGTTTTAGTGAAAGGAAGTTATTGTTTATGGACTAGTATCAGTTTAATTTGATTTATTTTTGGTTTTTAGGTCGTTGCTAATCTGAAAAATGAAATGATTAAGAAAATATATATTTTCAAATCGTTCATGTTATTTTATTCGGAACATTTTATGTGGTAGTGTGTAGAGAATCATTTTCATGACATCTGTCTCCATTTGGATGATTGAGTACATCCAGTGTTATTATTTTCAGTCCAAATATGTACTCATAAATATTTTTAAATTTAATGTCAATCATACAGAGAGAAGAACATTCTAACATGACCCAACTAGACAATGAAAAACATGATGAGTATTCGATGAGTAATATGATTTATTTGTAATGTTCTATTTCCAGGCTCAGGTCACTGTAAACCAGGAATTGACGATTACAGTATCACTGTTTCCTTTGCCGTTAATACCAAGGTTGATTGGCATATTATTGATAAGATCAGGTGAGAGATACTGTCATACTTTTATTTTCTGACAACAGATTTGTCTTAGAAAAATAATGTTGAAATAGTTACAAGTCAGTTTGTTTGAGACATGTAACAAGATCAATAATCATCATTTACATGTGCTACACTTTTTGATAGAGAAAGGTAATTGCCCTTTTGCTGTCTGTCATATAGGTAGGTAGTCACAAGGAAGTCATTCTGTTGTTATTATGTGATATATTTTATTGGTTATGTAAATTTCTCTGTAATGATTCAGAGATGTTTCATTTCTATTTTTTGAAGCATTGTATTTCAAAAACAAGAAAAATGTTTTATTTTTTTAATCCATTAGACTGCTCTTTTCCCCTACGATTTATCTCTTTACCGTAATTAATGGTGTATAAACCGCACCTTTTTGCCGCCGAAAAAAATTCCAATTTGGGGGTGCGGTTTATACACTGTACACCAAAAAAAAAAAAGTTTTTTTTTTAAAAGTTTCGATTTATTCCCCTCCACCTGGCGCTATGCCTGGCAATGTCTCCCAGCTCAGTAATCGGTGTGTTGACAAACCACTCTGAAACTAGAACAACACTCAAATTTGTCTGTCATCTTGGTTTGAAAGTAATCTTTTTGATAGATCTCAATATGTAGTTTATAATAATAATTCCTCCAATTTTTCTTCTATTACACAGCATACCACAAGGTTCTATCCTAGGTCCTCTACTGTTTTTAAAAATTTACATTAATGAGCTAACACATTCATCTGCACCTCGCAGTTAAATGAAAGGCCTTCCCACGTTTAAAAAAAAAATTTTTAGGGCTAAAAAGAGGGGTGCGGTTAATACACAAGGGTAGTTTATACACCGTTAATTACAGTAATCATTAAAGAAAAATGTAACCGCCTCCTCCTCCTCCTCCTGTTGTATCCAGGGCGCCCTCTGATGGCAGCACCAGCATCCACATCGTCCACCTGCCTGTAGCAGCAAGGACTGAAGAGGTCTCCCTTCGCTTCCATCAGGACCTCGCCATGGATGCCCATCATTACAGAGGCTGCTGGGCATTGGACAACGTCCTCATCACCAACATGGCTCATAGACCGACTTCACTTCAGGAGGACTTTGATCCAGTAGACCCAACCAGTTGGCTCTTCTTCCCAAATGGTGCCATTAGAGTAAGTTTTTTTTTTTATTATTATTATTATTATTATGTCATATAAAGAATTAAGATGTTATGCCATTTTTACTGTATCATTAAGTCCCTGTATCAGGTACAATCTTCCTTTAAAGTATGGTTAGGCTCTATATCTGTATTTTTGTTATTTCATGATAGTTTTTGTGCCCATGTTTTCCTCATTTATAGTTGTTTCTTGCAGCTTTCTTGTTACTGTTTTGCACAGATTCTTTCCCATCTAAATTAGGTATATTATAATTTTATCTTTATTATCTTCATTTATCCTACTCTCTCCCTGTTACATATATTCTCTCTCTCTTTTTTCTTCTATTTCCTCTCTCTTCTCTTTTTTTTCTCTTCTGTCTTTTCTTTTCTCTATCCTCTTCTCTCTCTTTTCTCTTCGTTTCTGTCTCTTTTATCCTTCTCTTCTCTTTCGTCTCTTCTCTCCTTTCTCTTCTCTTTCGTCTCTTCTCTCTTTTCTCTGCTTTTCTTTTTTCTTTCTCTCATCTCCTTTTCTTCTCTCTTCACTCTCTTCTGTTCTCTCTCACTTTCTCTGTCTCTGTCTCTCTCTGTCTTTCTCTCTCTGTCTCTCTCTCTCTCTGTCTCTCCTAGAAGAGGCAGTATCATTCACAAGCAACTTTCTTAGAATACAACAGATTTTATTGTATTGAAATCATGAAAAAATATGCGATTTAAAAAATGTCATTTCTCCTCTCTGTCCATCAGGAGTATTGTCAGTCCAGTGGGAATGCCCTTTGTTTCCATGGTGATGAAGAAACAGAGACCGATGAATACCAGTTTGTCACTTCTCAAGACCTCAACCTGTGGCAAGATATTGGTCATCCAGGCTTTTCTGAGACATTTGAGTCCATCGAGGATCTAAATGAGTAAGAAGAGCATATCATTTAAGTAAAAATATTGTTGCAGGTATTTGTAAGGGGTTTTCATTTGCAGTTTAGAATTCTCTGACATTCACTCTGATCTATCTTCCAACTCTCTGTAGATAGAATTTGTTTAACAATTTGATAGGATTTTTAAAAACAGAAACTTGAAACTTAAGATATTGAAGAAATAGCTTATTTTCACACCATCTGAATATAACCTACTCTTTACACAGAGACTAGTGATAAATGTGATAGATATTCATCATTTTATTTTTGCTATGAAGCTTCTCTGAATTGTTCGATTGCCAATTGTGAGATTGATTGCGATTCCATTCCTCAAAAAAAGTTTGTCACATTATCGTCGTCGTCGCCGTCATTGTCATCGTCATCGTCACATTCCCCATTAGGGAATGTCTTCTTGAGACCATTTACCCATCAAACTGTATCTGTATGCACATCCAGATCAACTATACTTCTTATCCTCAAATTCTTATTGATGAAAGTGTTTCAGTTATCCAGAAGTAATAGCCACAACTACTGTCCAAAGAATTATATGTATCTCTTTAGCCTTTTTGGAATCCAATAATTACAGAACTGTATGGTTTTATTTTCCTTGTGTTATCCAGTTGGGAAGTGAGCGGTGCAGAGGCCAGCCAGATGTGTGATGTAGTACATTCTAACAACTCACTCGTCATGAACGGCTTGGACGAGAGACTAGTCTGCACTCCATACCTCAATACAACGAACATGGGCAACCTTCGCTTTTACTACATCATGGGTAAGAACAATTTTGTTACTTGTCAAAGTTTTTGACATTTTAACACAAGTTTTTCCTACTCCAATGGAATGTCCTATCTTTTCTCTTCTACTTCTACTTTTCTATGGTAATACTCATCAACGCCTGTTCAGCATCTAGATGAGGGTAAAGCATAGAGTTGTTATATACAGCTCTATGCGATACAGTTCCTGAAAAGGGAACTAAATTGTTTCAAGAGCCACCTTGAACTGCTCCAAAGAAGGCGGTTCGACGATGATCTGAGGTAGCTTGTCCCAGTCCTTAAGTGTCATGGGGAAATAACTAAATTTGTTAGTGTCCATTCATGTACATATATTTTTTAATGAGCCATGGGTACTTTCTCTGCAATATTGAAATTTCTATTTTATTTGTTCATCATTAGAAGACATTAAAGATAAACAACTCTCTTTATCTTTCTCTCTCTCTCTCTCTCTCTCTCTATATATATATATATCTCTCTCTCTCTCTCATTCTCTTTCACTCTCATCTCTCTCTTTCTCTCTCTCTCCATCTCTCACATACTCGTTGTCAGGTGGTGGATCATGTGACCCTGCAGACTCTGAGCTAGTCCAGGTCTCTGTGTATGCCCAGGTGTCTGGCAATGACGCACCAGTACTGCTACACATCTTACCCCATGATTCACACAAGGTAAGCTGATAGTCCATTTGAACTTAATGGCCCGGATTCACAAAGGAGGTTTAAATTTAACCCACGGTTTAAATCCTCATTTACATAACTCATGGTCTAAAATTAGCCTGACACAGTCAGAGGTCCAATATAAGACGTGCGCAAGGCAAGGTACGCCCAAGGGGGTGTTACTCTCATACACAAATGCTACCCACCCGTGTCCATCGATATCTGAAATGGACCCTAATGGCGTATCACACTTTTTTTCTGAAATGGCCCTTTTTTAAGAAAACGTCGAAACCTGTGAACCTGAAAAGGTACCTTTTTTTTGGTTTTTGTGCAATCAGTGCTTGAAAAACACCCCTTTTTAAGGAAAACGTCGACCCCGCCGTATAGCTGAAAAAGACACCCTTTTGCCGCTTTTTCTGTACGCGGGTGCGCAGCCAGTCATGTTGGGAGTGACCCCCCCCCCCCCCCCTGGCAAGGTACGCTTATGTGCGCTAATTTTTAAACTGTGGATTATGTAAATGAGGATTTAAACCATGGGTTAAGTTGAACCTCCATTGTGAATTCAGGCCATAGTGGACATAATAAAGATTCAGATATTGACTCTTCATGACAAGTCCTTGCATTATCACCTTTTGATATTGTTCTTTGCTAAATGGAAGAGGGCTATATCTAACAGAACTTACGTTTTAAACAAAATTGATTTAAAACAAAAATGAATTCAAAGCACTCACATTCAGTCTGCACAGCGCAAACATGAAGTCTAAAAAGTTAAATTTTTAAGTTTTATAATAATAATAATAATAGTGGGTTCTTGTATAGCGCTCTTGTCAATCAGATTTGACCCTCCTGGCACTCCCGATTATTACCCTGGCTTTAGCACGGCTGCCATACAGCGCTCTAGCATTTCAAGGAATAAATTCCTACCAGGTACCCATTTACTTCACTTGGGTGGAGTATATCTTCAAATTAATGTAAGTAAAGGGATATGCTTGTAACTTGAATTACATTCTCATTTTAAATAAACTGAATAGTTTGTTTAATAAATTTTTCATTTCCTGTGATGTTTAGAAACCACAGCTAGTCTCGGTAGCCCTCCCACCCACGACCCAGTCTTCATCCACTAAGTTCTGCCTCTCCCAACCCCGCCACAATGGCTTGAATCGAAACGTGTGGGCCATCGACGACCTCCTCCTTCTGCCGATCCAGCCATCGTATCCCACAATGCATCTGCAGTTCGGCCTGAACCTGCGTTGCGGATCAGAAGCAGATGATACAGAGGTCAGGGTGGAGTTTTCAACAGACATGGGACGGTCGTGGTCTCTCGTTCGTCAGGAATGTCTACCCGGTGTGTGTGATGGTGTGATGACACCTGATGATAGCGTGTACACGACGGGAGACTTTTCTGGAAGGTTAGCTTTGAGATGTTTTTGTGTATTTATTTATCTAAATGTTATACAGTAGGAAACATTTAGTATTACTCTTTGTAGCACTATTTCATCATGGTGGTACTTGTACCTAGTATAGTGTCTCAGCACCGTCTAGATACAGACAACATTTCATGTGTAGTGAGGGCAGTGAGTTTTCTTGCAAAAAGTATCATAAAAGTTGTAATAGTGATCACTTTTAAAGCCATTGTTTAACAATGTTTCCAGTTTTACAAATCGGAGATGCATGGCCCTACGTGTAATCAGTGTCTGTGATATGGTGTAATATTGAAGCCCTAAAAAAAAGTTGCGCTTCAAAATGATCATGAAGTGCTTCAAAAAATTAAAGTCACCGGTTTTACCATACTAATTTTCCCCAATAGACTGTAGTGTTATAAAAACATTTGGGAAAACTGTATGAAATTTCAAATTCCAATATTAAATATCTTGATAATCAGACAGGCGATCGGCTTGTAAAAGTCATGGGATTTCTGACTGACCTAAAGGTTTTTATTTATGATTGCAGCATGAGCTAAAATATCAAAGGAATCTTGTATTTCCACACAAACAAAGATCTGCAGAAGATATGAACTTATTGGTGTTGTAACAGATCTATAAAACTCCACTCACATGATTGCAATTTTAACATTTGATTCTCGGATATGTTGACATGGAAAAATTGTCAAGACAACACTAGATATAATATCAGTGACAAATCAACAGTGCTCGTACTGATGCCATGGCAACAAGCATCAGGTGTTTATGTAGGACAAGCTATGTTTTCGCTATGCTATGTATGATTACGTTGCTTTCATAAAGACAAACAATATTCATCCGTGCTTGATTGTGGTTGATTTCTAAGACTTACCTTATTTGTCCTGGTCTTTTGTGTATTAGGCAAATGTTTTATGTTGTCATTGGTAAAAATGATATACCGGGTACATTAAACTCTATATTCTGAATACTAAATGGCACCATTTTATCAAAAGGTTTCAAATTTTAAAATCTGTTACGTTTTTGTTTGTATAGATGGAGAAGGATCACCATTCCTCTTCCTACAGCTGCATTGATGAAGCATACCAGGTTCAGATGGCGTCAGAGTGTTCATGATTCCTCAAATACTAAATGGGCCATTGATAATGGTGAGATTCCGCAGAGAAATATCAAACTGGAATGGCTTTTGAAAAAGTGTAGGATGAGAAATATGTGAAAGTACTATGCAAGACTAATAAATCAGCACATGTATCGCTTTCCAGTATTGAGCTTCCTACTTTCTAAAGTAGTTTCATTCTACAAGGCATTGGGAGCAAGGAGGGGTATTCTTTTTGTTGTTGTAAAGGAACTATTTAAATTGGGTTATTGCCTTTTACCAATAATATGGTAGCAATCAAAGTTGCTAGTAATACCTGAAAAAACAAAACAAAAATCATTTTCTCACTTATAGCTCAATTAAATCTGGAGAGGGTTTATGTTATGGTCCACAGATACCTTACAATATAGTACTGTTCCTGAAAGATTCGAATTTCATTTTTGAGATCATTTTCTCAGTATACTATAGCTCAGTTCTATCTAGATATGGTTATGTTATGGTCCACAAATACCTAATTTTTGTTCTTTTCCAATCACCTTCATTCACATCAATATCATAGTAATGAGAAAATAGTAGGTGAACAGGAATAACAAAGTGTTAATTCAAATATCAACTGTGTTATGTTTTATTGTCAATACAGTTTATATTGGTGATGCCTGTGGACCCTTAATGTGTAATGGACATGGAAGATGCACACACTTGGGATGCAGGTGAGATATAAGTCAATGTTTACTGCCAAATAATTATAAAGGTTATTCTGTAATGAGTAATACTAGTGAAAGTACAATCAACCTTGGTTTAATGTAAGTTCAATGTGTGTTTCTCATGTGGTGGATGTCTGTAGACACTGACAATGATGTTACAGGTTTGGATAAAATTTATAGCTAAGTTACATAGTATTTGTTGGGACATGTTATGTATTCCATATGCATTCTAATGTCACTGTGCTGGTTGCTACTGGCAAAATGACATTTAGCTGTTCTGGTCAGAATTGATTGGAAAACAAATTATTTTCTGAAGATCACTCAAAGCAGCCACATTTTATTCTGGTTACTGCCTTGCCATTTTAATATATTTATACCGTTTACTAGACTTGTTTGATACAATGGAACTTGAATTAGATCTATTCATTCAGTAATTTATTATGGGTTTTCAACTTTCAGGTGCGATCAGGGGTACTCCGGAGTCGCCTGTCAGATCGCTGTGGGCTTCTTGCCAGGTAACATGACAGAGAACTTTGAGATGTTTAACTCAGACTTTGATGAGAATGAGAAGTTCAGTGTCATCCAAGGAGGATCTACTGGGTATGGATGTGGAGTCCTAGCATCAAGCAAAGCTTTGGTCTTTAATCAGAAGGGACGAAGGGAGCTCATCACTCAGGAGATCAACACAACAAATATCAGGTAAATTGTTTTGAAAAATGTGCTTTGTTATATTCCAGTAATGTGTTTAGGTAGTTTGTTGATGATGATTGTTTTACCTGACTGCTAATTAAGCATGTATATGCCTGTAAGTAAATAAAATGGGGACTGACGGCTTTAAGTCCTCTCCAAGGGACTTTGTAATGAGGATTAATGCCTTACCAAAGGATATGAGCGCATTGGTTTCGAACCCAGGACCTCCCTGTTACGAGACCACTGCTCTACCACGGAGCCATCGCGCCTCCTTGCGCCTTTCATTTCATGTAAATAATGTGTATGATAGTAGTTAGTTAATTTTCAGGCATGTTTTTTTTTGTCTGAATAATGTGAATGAGTGATAATTGCCTTTTGCAATGCGTGCTAAAATGCATACTATTTAAACTCATCTAATCGCTCTGCAGCGTGGGCAGTTTCAGGTACTTGGTATGATTGCGATTTCATGAAATATATTTTCCTGTGTGAAAATCCTCCTCCTTTGTTTATTTGCATGATCTGTTATCTTTTGCAGTTTGGAAAGTTAGAAGATCTATGATGAAGTATTATTTGTTGGATATTGATAGAAAATTGAGTCTGTAATCCCATGCTATTTTCCCCAGATATTTGCAGTTCACAGTTCGGATAGGCAGCCATGGATCATCATCAGGCACATGTTCTCCAGCGCTCAACGCCTCTGAATCTGTTCTCGTCCTGTCGTCCTGTGATAATGGGAACCATTGGAATCTCATCAAAATGCTAGAGTATGATGCTTATAAGACGGCTAGGTAAGAATTAGAAGGTTCCATTCAGAGCATTCTTGAAGATATTGAGTAGTCAGGAAAGAATGAAAATGTAAAAACAGGAAAAAAAATGTAAAAACAGAAAAAATGTCAAAGTTCTTTTATGCTGCAATTAATATTTCTAAAGGGAGTTCACTTTTTTTAGAATGAACATATGATATTTTGAAGATTCATAAGATAGTGTTGTACATGAACATATATATTTTTATTGCATTATCAAGAAATCTTGTGTCTCGGCCTTCACATCACTCTGACAATATTGTTTCACCGATCTTAATGACCTTAATTTTTCTTTTTGATCTATGTCATAGAACTGTCCTTATCCATCTGAGCCCTGAGGCCCAGAGTGATGCCTGTATGATAAGATGGTGGCAGCCTTCAAGTGGAGGAGAGAACCAAGCAGTTTGGGCTTTGGATGATATCTCCATGACAACCAAACTCAGGAATAACATCAACCTGGACTTCAGTGACCATAGGGAGGTGCGGAGAGCTCTTACATTCCACACTGGTCAGATTGGCGAGGCATGCAATATCAGTCCTGCACTCATGTGAGTTTGCTTGAGGATAAGTCTATAGAGATTCAAAAGAGGTCTTATGATGTTTGATAGGAAGGATTTTTTGGGGAAAGATGTTTTTAGGAAAGTATGATTATGTGCAGTAATGACTTACATGAAGTGTGGGATAAATGACTGAATGAGGTAACAAACTGATTTTACCACAAATGATACAGTGAGAAATGTTCTGGGATCAATTTCTAACACTTAGCACATTCTGAACTTCAATCCTGGACCCAACACTTCACTTAACCATGACCCTAACACTAACCCTAAACATATACTCAAACCCAATCACCACCATAGCCATAATCCTGTATCTTATAAATTAAAGACTACAAATAAAGTATGGTATGATAAATAATGTGTCAGGTTAAAAAAAAAAACTTTGTCATTGTATTTCACAGATTGCCAGGCCAGTCCCATTCCAGCGGTGCATCAATCCTAGAGACTCACTCTCTTCAGGTTGGGGCTTCCTATATGATACAGTTCTATCTGGCTGTTGGCTGTGGACAACAGAGGAGACTTGGTATGTCCATCGAGTGTACTACCTTTCTTAATGTCACATGATTTTAAAAATATGTATTCATTACAGACTTTCTAGTACATAAGAAAGTTGCACACTAGTTGCTTGAAAAGAACACTACATCCTGAATGAACATGCAGACACACTGAAAGATTTCTTGAAGAATCAAAAACATTGATTTTTAAAGTTCAAACATTGATTTTTAAAGTTCAGAATGTACTACCAGGTAGGTGTATTTGTGAACAGTCCTATTGTTATTTTACGTGCTATGTTAGATAAGCAATCTTTCATGGAAGTTAAGTTGGAAGATTAAAGTTCAGAGAAAGTTTAGTTAAAAGCTATTTGTTATATGTTCAGCATATATGGGATCGTTTTGCAATTGATGTACATGTTTCATTTTTATATAGTTTGGTCTGCTATATATATTGTGTTTGTATTTGCAGGACATGATTACTCCATTAATCTGGAGTATTCTACCGACCATGGTTTGACGTGGCATGATGTAGTCCCACCCTGTATGCCTGGTGATGTAGGATGTACATCATACAGACAAGGATCTCAGTATCACTCTACAGAGTATACAGAATGGACCAGGATTAGTCTGCCTTTACCTGCAAGACTTAGGTCAGACATTTTACTAAACATTGTATTTCCTGCTTTTAACCCAGCTTGGACGATTTTTCATGTTTTGAATGAGTGGAATGATTTTGTTAGCAGGAGTTTGTTTAGATTTTATAGCATATTATTCTATCTACTTAATAATGGATTTCTCCCACATTTCTTTTAGAGAATCGTATGTTCATGGTCGTTAATGTTATGCTACATGGAGATTCAATGCCAGTTATGGAATTTCTATTTTATGTTAAACCCAAATGTGTTTTGATTGGAAGGCTTCGTTTAAAAAAAACCTTCTGTGATATGTGGTGGTGGCTATTTTACCTGACTGCTAAGAAAGCATAAATGCTTGTTAGTAAGCAACCAGACGGCCGATAGCTTAAGGTCCTCTCCGAGGGACCTGGTAATTAGGATTAATGCCTTAATTACCAAAGTGTACTAGCGCATCGCCTTGGTTTCGAACCCAGGTCACCGGATTACGAGACCACTGCTCTACCGACTGAGCTATCTTGCCATATGCATATCAATAAATAAATAATGTTGTTTTATGATAGTAATTGAAGAAATGATCGGGAAAGAATTTGTAAAGAATAGAAAAAGGTGATATGCTGTAATAGAAAATGTTTAGGAGCTTTTAAGAAGTGAGAGGACAGAAACTAGTTAAACCACCTCTTTTGATGTGGGATATAGAGTTGCAATGGAAGAAGTTGAACAGTGCTCCTTCTTGTTCCTTTAATGAACTTTCACTATCCTTGATATATCTCAGGTTTGCAGTGACTAGGTTCAGGCTACGCCAATCCCATCATGCCGATGGAGCGACATGGGCCATTAGACATCTGTATGTAGGGGAGCAGTGTCCTGATATGTGCCGTGGGCATGGTGTTTGCCAGGAAGGACTTTGCAGGTAATGACTGTTGATACAAATAGTAATGATCATGATCTTGATCTTGATGATATTGATGATGATGATGATGATGATGATGATAATGACATTGATAATGATAGTGATGATGATAACTAGTTTGTTTAGTGTGTACTTTTGGGCATTGACCATTAGGTTTATCTGTACATAGGGGAGCAGCGTCCATGTATGGGCATGGTGTTTGCCAGGAAAGTATCTGCAGGTAACTTTGGTTGATACTTCTGCTAGTAATGAAACAAGTATGATGATCTTGATGAAGATATTGATGATGATGATGATGGTGGTGATTATATTGATGATGATTAAAAATGATATAGTACACATATGTATTTTTTTTGTACAGCATTATAGTTCATTTGATTATGCAATTAGTAATATATGAAACAGGAAATACTCTTGCTACAAGTCTTTTAACTATTTCATAGTATTGTAATGTCTTACGGAGAGAAAGAAAGCCAAATTTTTGATGAAGTGCCTTCATATCTTCCACTTGAATTCATTGTAATCTGAATAAAGAAAATGATAATCTGTGACAATTAATATTTCTTTTCATTGATTGCTTTTCCAGATGTGACAGAGGCTACAGTGGAGTGAGTTGTCTGCCAGATAACCCTAGACTGAACGCTATACAATCCAACTTTGAGGAGGCAGCTACGATCAATGCTGATTGGTCCACCATTCAGGGTGCAACCATCAAGTGCACAGGTCATGGATGTGGCACCATATCTTCAGGATGCTCTCTCTACTTCCATGGTGTTAGTGTGCAGATGGAGTAGAATTTGTTTATAATATTCCAAACTTTTCCATCAAAATGTCATATCTTTGCAAGTATGGTGTATAGGCATTAAAATGTTTTGAAAAAAGATTGCTGTGCTATTACCAGTGTATTTATACTATTGGTATTTACTCTACATCTTTTTTTCTCATTTTTGTTATTTCAACGTCTAAGGAAAAATATGAAGTTTATTCTTTGTTTTAAGTTATGATATTGATAAATAATTATTGACTCCTTTAGAGGAATAAAGATAATGATTCACACTACCTGGAGTTGAATTTATGAAGCCATCACAAAACGAAAGTAAATGAATGATTGTCGGATCCTCCCTCAAAAAAGAGGAAAATGTAAACCTCATGATATTTGTGCTTTATCCATGTCCATTATTATCTGTGTATTCAGTTAAGAAAACATCACATAATAAGAGACCCATGGGCTCTAGCTGTACCTATCTTGCTCTGAGTTTTCATTATCCTTTGTAAATGTTGTTGGCATCATGTGCTGTGTTTTTCCTGTCCCTATTAAAGGCATCGTTTAACAATCTTAAATCTGAGATGCACGGCCCTACGTGTTATCAGTGTCTTTGATATGGTGTAATATTGAAGCCCTAAAAAAAAAAATAGCGCTTCAAAATAATCAAAAAGTGCCTTAAAACAGTAAGAATCTTTGAGTGACTGGCTTTCCATACTCGTTTTCTCCAATAGACTGTAGTGTTATGAAAACCGTTAGGAAAACGCAAAATTTGGTTTTGATTTCCAATCATAAATATCTTGATAATCAGACGGGTGACCAGCTTGTAAACGTCATGGGGTTCCTGACTGACCTAAAGGTTTATAATTATCATTGCAGCATGAGCTAAATCCAGGATTTTGTTTCAGAATCTGAGACAAAGTTACCGGATCCCTTTAACCTTGTATTCCCCTCCTCCCCCTTCCACAGCCTGGTGTAAGACAGCTAGTCAGCCATGATATGAGTACGGTAGAACCCAGCTATATCCAGTTCTACATCAGGATTGGTAGTGATGAGGAGAGGAGTGCGTGTAGCAGGGCCACAGAGAGGGCAGAGGGTGTCCTACTCCAGTACTCCACAGATGGTGGTATCACATGGCTGCACCTGCTGGAGCTATACTACCAGGATTATACCATGCCAAGGTAAGGTCTTATGAATGAAAGAATGGAATATAATTATCATTACCAAACATCCTAAATTTAGAGACTTTTCAATTTGTGGGTGTATCCTTGTCAACATAGTTACCACTTTAGGAACAATTACATCAGAATTAAGATTTATTTATTTATTTATGTCAATTATAAAAAAAAAAGAGAACATTTTTGTCCTTCTTTCTATTATTTAATCAAAGAATGTTAATGTACAAATTTAGAATCATGTACTTGAAAAGATGATTGGAGAAAGGCGTTGAAAAGAGCCATACTTACGCTTTTTGTCTTGCACTCATGAGTGCAAGAAAAAAAGCTTAATTATGGCTCTTTTCAACGCGATTCTCCAGTAATGTACTTGTTACCACATTTGAATTAAATGGCAAAATGTAGCCCCCCAAAAAAGGAATACAGCTATAAAAGACGAAGAAGTAATAGGTTCCTATGGTTTGCACTTTAAAATGATTTCTTGATCAAGAATAAATTCTTGCTCGATTCTTTTGCATTCTTAGATTTGTTCGCAAGGAGCTGCCGGCAGGAGCTCAATCTCCTGCAACCCGTTTCCGCTGGAGACAGCCTCATCATGCAGGAGCTTTCAATAGCCAATGGGCTGTAGATGATATCTTCATTGGCAATGACTTCAGACTTCAGTCTCTGGAAGCCTCATTTGTGGTAATAAAGATATAAAAATTGATGTAATGGTAATGTCGCTATGAATGGTATCTGCTTTGTAAAATTTACTTTTTTTTGGGTACACTATTATAGCGTATGTTGGATAGAGTACAAAAAACTTTCTTTGTACTGGCTTAACCTGTGGAACACAAAGTCTGAGATGATCTGAAGAGTGGGGTCTAAAGAGACTGAGTGTTACCCAAGCTTTGATTATAGTATCTAATGTCTTTCTATGAAAATGGAAATAAAGTATTACTCTAATGACTGAGAAGTCTTTTGTTGTCTAATTTTGAACTTGATCGTTAAATAACCTTCCTCAACCTGACTTTGGGGAAAAAAAATGGTAGTGATATATTGTTTCGGAACACCACACCACACCACATGGTCGCTATGCATGATGATTGGATAGCTATGAAATAACTACACTAATAACGAGGAAGATGGTGTAAACTCTTCTCTATTCTTTAATCTTGCATTTTTCAGAATACAGCTGTAAAATAGTAAGCATATACTAAGCTGATATAGGATGACTTAGGGGATATAAAAATCCTCCATACAATTTATTTTGGGGCCCATCTCTTTGAAGACATTGCTTTCCTCTGTACAGAATGACAGTCCACACCCAGACATCTGGATGTCCACCAGCAGTGGTCAGATGGGTACATTCTGCGGGTCAAGGGGTCCGGCCCTCTACTTTGATGCCGTTGGTGAGGATAGATTCGCTGTCACCAGATCAATGCAGCTCACCACAAGGGATGTTGTGCAGTTCAAGGTAAAAGCGATTTTTTTTTTTTTTTTTTTTTTTTTTTTTTTTTTTTTAAATTTCTTATACCTGGTAAGTTTTCTTTCCTCTTATCCTTGATTGAGTAGCATTCTGTCGGTATAGAAACATCTTATCCTGCCCTGTTTGATAAAAGTTGATATTGATATCAATAACCAGAAACAATAATTGTTATAAGCTAATGAAATACTTAAACTTGATTGGCTGTGAGCAGATTTGTAGTACATCTGTGGCTTTTGTTATTGATAACAAGTTTTATGAAACGGGGCCCTGCTTTAACCAGAAAGATGTTAATTTTATGTAAAAGTTGTTGAGTTAATGCCCTTGTGGCTTTAGGTGGACTATAGACTGTTGATTGTGGTAATAGGTGTACTTAAGTGAAAAGGAGTGACCATTTACACAAACCCAGGAAAATTCTCCTGAGCATAGCCTAGTAAAACGTATGCAGATGTACACATGTTATCACAGTATTGAATTCAGAGAACATTATTCAGAAAATTAGGGGCTCCAAAATTAAAGGATCATATAGAATAGAACCAGATGAAGCAACGCCTGGGGTGTTTCACAAAGATTTTAAGTTGAACTTATTTCCAAGTTGGACTTAACAATTATGGAAAGCCATTAGCATCTATGAAAATATTTTGTAAAAGTGATTTTAAAAGGCATAAAATGTTTATTCAAATCATTCATATTTTCTATTATTAAAGAGATTTTATGTTCTTGATGTAGAATTTATAAAAAGTCTAAAATACTTGATTTTCGCTTTTAAATATATTTTATTTTAAGACTACAAATGGCTCTCCATAATGTTTAAGTCCAACTTAGAGTAAAGTTCAACTTATGATCTTTGTGAAACACCCCCCTGTTGTGAAAGGATGATGAAATATGCAAGTACCCGGTAGCATGCATGATGTCATTCAGTTGTAGGGAGCAATTAAATCACTTGTTGATGAAGAATTCCTAAAATTTCTTGTAGGTCGTGGTTGGATGCCAAGAAGAGTTCTCCCACTTTGCTCCTGTCTACCTGGAGAAATCCACCGATGGAGGGCTCCACTGGGAGCTGGTAAGCACCCCTTGCTACCCCTTCTCAGAGGGAGAGGTACAGTGTGATGGGCAGGGAGGAGAGCTGAGAGATGGGAGCATCTACCACTCTGGAAGGTACAATGACTGGGGATTGATAGTGATTCCTGTTCAAAGTGATATGACCCACAGGTAAATATATACAGTATGAGTAATTACTCTTTGATGCTAAGCACTGAAGGTTATGGCTTTAAACAAATAAGCTATGTCATCTTTGAAGAGATTATCAAGTTTAGTGCCATTTACTGCCGTGCCATATGTGTGTAAAGTATGTTTATTGTTTGATGTTCTTAATATTACTTGCGGAATATGTATCGTGTGCATTTCATTTATATCTTATATCCAAGGGGGATGATAGTTTTGCAGTGCAGGTAAGCAACTCTAATGTTTAGTTGGAACTTTAACAACAACAAAAATTGTTTTATTGCTCTTGGTCATAGATCACAAAGTTCAATAGGTGGAGGAAAATCTGAAGCCTTAAAATCTTCATAAATAAAACAAGATACAAAACTTGATACACATATGACAGCTACCTTGAAATCCCTTTCTGCCTTCATTTCAGCAACGTCCAGTTTCGTTGGTGGCAGGCTGGTGATCCCCTTGCTCCAGCCTTTGGGTTGGATGATGTGTACATCGGTCAGTCTTGCCCTGGTCACTGCAGTGGACATGGGGTTTGTAGGAATGGAGACTGTGAATGTGACTCGGGATATCATGGTAGGTATAGATGTAGTCTAATATTGTGATTTTAGTGATTACTTCAGATAGAAATGAGAAAAGTGATAATGTGTGGATATTATTGTGCAACAGTAAAGTGTACATTTGGCATCCTATAGTAAACTTTTTTGGAATTAATTGACGCCTGACCCCTTTTTTTCCCTTCCCCCCAAAAAAAAAACAACTTAAGTTTACGCAATCAGAATGTACCATAGAGCATTTTAAGTTTCAAAATTTTCCTGGGCCTTCCAGCAGGCCCTGGACACCACACCATAAGGGCTTTGTACATTTTGCACGCAATTTTGTACTCATGCCTCCTCCTTTTGGAAAATCTTGGATTTGCCCCTGTCCTATAATAAACTTTCTTGCAATCAAGATGGGTGGAAAATGGAATTACCGTAGGGACATTTTTAAGTATGAGCTCACATCGGTAGATATATCTTTGATTGTCCACTCGACTATTGAAACAAAACTAGCTTAGATTAGTCAAAGTGTAATCAAATTAACATTTTTATGTAGGTGATTGATTAGATTTTTAAAATCAGCCGAATGTCTGCAATGATAGTCTCAACAAAATATGAATAAAAAAGTCATCCTATGGGTGCTTCATGTTCACCTGAGGGCTCCAACCCACAGAATGTTATTGATGGCTCTGACTCTATTAGTTTTATTGATGGCTTTGATACGATGAGACCCCAGATGGTCAGTGGTCTCATACCTGGGTGCCGACGTGGGTCAAGGGTGTGGGGTCATCAAGATGGACTCAACTCATTTCATTTTCTATTATCTCTAATTATTCTGTTGTAGGTACATCCTGTACACCCAAGGGGTCCAATCCACAGAGTTTCATCGATGGCTTTGATACGATGAGACCCCAGAGTGATGGTCAGTGGTCTCATACCTTGGGTGCTGACGTGGGTCAAGGGTGTGGGGTCATCAAGATGGACAACTCTCTCTACTTCAGCTCCACCGGACCAAGAGAAGCTCAGACAGAGCCTGTCAATACTACTTCCATCAAGTGAGTTATATTAGCACTTCATGCTTAAGGATATCATTTTATAGGAACAGGCTTGGATGAACTCTGAAATAATTAATTGAGACAATATACTTATTTCATACAGAGACAATGTGCTTTCATTGTTTGAATAATACATCTTTGCTGTTCATATCAATGACATATTGTTATTATTTTACAAGTATGTAAATACATGTAGTACAGTGGCAGTTGCAATTTTTGCTCTGAATCCAAAGTACCTGTTGCAGATGTAGTCATCCGGCTTCCATGGACAATTATCTTTTCATAAATGTAATGTCAATATGTAATTTAACACTATTTATTCTGCTTTTATACCACTTTTAATTCAGAATCGTCCAGTTCTATGTCCAGATAGGTAGCATGGACCAAGGTGACCAGTGCATGCCAGCCATGGATCGCAGTGAGGCCATCATTGTCCAGTATTCCAATAATTCTGGCATCACATGGCATACACTGAAGGTTCTTGACCCCACTCAACTAGGTGAAAGGTCAACGCAGGTCACCATAAGTTTGCCCTCTGGGGCTAAGACACCGGATACTGTGTTCAGATGGTGGCAGCCTTTTGTGTCCCTTGGTAAGTTAATGGCCAAGTGAATTAATTTAAAAAATGAGTTGATATTCATTGTTGACATACATATACCAATTTTTGATAAATAATCTTTTTGCATTAAAGGTTTTTCCCCAAAGGTTCACTTTGACATACATTATGTTCATGAACTTAATTTGTATTTTGTGTGAAATTGTTGATTTTGAAAAGTAGACATTTACAAGCATTCCATGGTGAAAAATTTACTAGAATTATCTGGACTTTCAACAAGCAAGAATATGAATATCATTAATTCACCCGTATATCCCTATTAACCCTGATCTAATTAAGTAGAATTGTCCTGTATACAAATTTTGTCATCATCCTAATAAATTTTTTATGATGCAAAATTGATTCAATAAAAACAAAGTGTAAAACATTTAAATACTATGTAATATCCTAATGATGTACATTTTCTACTTTGCACAATGAATACAGGTATTCCAAGGGCACAGTGGGCGCTGGATAACATAGTGATCGGTGCCAACGAGACCAGATTGTATGGCTTTGAGGATACCTTCACTGGTGGTGCTAGTGATAGCTGGTATATGACGATGGGAGGACAGGCTAAGCCATTCTGTGGGGCCCAAGATGCGCTGGTCTTTGATTCCACTATAGGTATGAATGATCTTTCATCAAGATTTGTCAACAAAGATAAAGGATAGATCTTGAATTTGACACCATGACATCACTTGAATTGTAAATCTTGTTGTTGATTGTCTCATTTGGTATTTGGACAAATGTATTAAGAAATGCATTTTGGTTGAAAACAGCGCTGAGAGTTATTACTTTGAGTATTTTCGAAGGCATCGATTTGCTTATCATGGTCTCAGAGAGATCTTGGATCAAGATGGCATAGAAGGAGACATTCATAACAAATCGTCAGACATTTCTCAGTAAGGTCTCCATTCGGGTCTCCCTGTTGAGGAGCACACAGTTTTATATTTTACAAGTAGCTTAACTGCTTTTCTGTAGATGGGCTACTGGTACATACAATAACATACATGTACTTTCTAATCAAATGCTGTTGCTATATTACAGGGGTACCTCGCTACACTGAGACCTGGGATTTCCATGTCACCATGACTGCCTTCCTGCAGTTTGAACTAACCATGGGTTGTGCAGGGGGCACACCATCCCTCCCAGCCTATGCTGTTCTGCTAGAGTACTCCTTGGACATGGGACAGACGTGGCACCTGGTGGCGGAAGAATGCAGTCCTCCAGACATGGGGTGTGGTCGATACGGGATGAGCACAGTCTACCTGTCTCAGATGCATCAGGATTGGACAAGGGTCACGGTCTATCTGCCTGTAGCTGCTATGTGAGTGCAAGGGAGAGGAAAGAAGATGATTTAAAGCTAACAATTGAATCAATAGAGCAGAGAATTCTGTAATGAAAGACAGACTAGACCGATTCCGTCTCCCAGGAAATACATCTTGAGCTCATTATTTCTCAGTCTGTTTTAAATTTATGCATTGAACAAGTTTTTTTGGCACATAACAATTCCAGTGAACACTATTTATGAGAAGAAATTTAAGGAAAAAAGTACTAGAGAAGTTTGCTGGCTATTGTGTATTTTTGCTAGTAAGTAATGGGTTGTACAAAACAATGTTGGTGGTTCCAAATTTGCAAGGAGTAGGAAGGGCTCTCAACACTCTCTTTATAGAAGATAGCATATGATGATGAAATGATGATATTAGCACTTAGGAGACGACGGGCTTCTACAGAACCTGAGCGAGTTGTTAAGTCTGTGACGACGGGCTTCTACAGAAGCCGTGATGTATCCCTAATATTTTGACATAGTTTTCCAGCTTTTTATTAGCTGATATGGGCTAAAGTTCTTTGAAGTATCATTTCGATATATCCATCCATCTCATCTATTAAAAAAATAATGAAGTTACGTGGAAAAAATCGAGAAAAAGTGCTATCATTTCAACTTTACCCTAAGTTAGTGTTCGGATCGAAAAAAGCCCTCGAAATACCCGTACAGCTGGAGACGGATGCTTACGTGTGCGTCCTTTCTATATTCTTGCCAGGATTCTTGCTTGACGACGTTATTGTAATTACATAACTGATTTAGATGTATAGTTAGAAAGTAGAATATGAAACACAAAAAGAGTTATTCAAACATTGGCAGGTCTATAATGCGAAGAAAAAAATGGCATCATGAGACAGCTTATACTATTGCATTTTATTATTTATGATTCAAGGCTTTGGATTATTGGTTTTGTTGATGAAGATGATTACCTGGCGATTTTCCATCGGTGATTGGATGATTTTTGCTGGGCAATATGAGAGGGCATTGTTTTCCTCACATTTCCATAGATGTATTGTAGTTATTCATATAATAATATTATTAGGCCTATAGTAGGCTTATTCATAAAGACCTAGGATTATTCCTTTCAAATAAAATTTGCAATTTGTATGCCGCGTTTCACTTGGCTACACATAACCGACCTTACTCTCAACTGTGTAAGTATAAAAGTATGCATTGATAAAAGGACTTGGTAATTCTTCTCCCCTGTAATTACCAGTGTCAGAACTCTGGCAATACGCTTTTCATGTTATCAACTTGACCAATTTAGCAAATCATTCATGTATGGACCTCCTCTTTTATGAAATGCTTATCTCAGCTGCCTGGACCAGATCCCGCAATAAGAGGAACAAACGAATGTAAAGAAGTAACTACTCTGGAAGATTACTGTTTTGAAAGAAGAGGATGGAGGCCTAAACGGAGGTCAATCTACATGACAATACAAACAACCACTCTAACTTATAAACCTTTATGAGGGCATGTAATCATTTTAGAGCAGGTTTGAGTTATATGTATAGCCACGAATATGAGATTTTTCCTGGGCAAAGATGCTACCATTGTTGAAGAAAAAAAGCAAGGCAACATATAAACAAGTTTTTCTGGCAATGAAGAAAAGCGAGTGCAAGATGAAGGAAATAATTTCTATGATCATTACTATTCTATTACAATATTGTAAGCATCATCATTACCATCATCATCATCCTTATTTCATGTATACATGTACATGCCATCTACAGAACTGATCATGAAACGAGGATTAACAAAGTTTTATTGACACAATAGGTTGAACGAGAATACAGATGGAGACGAAGACAAATAAATTGAATTCTCACGAGGGATAACCAAAACCAGTCTAGCTGTTCGATGGTTATCCTGGTAAATGGGATTTGTGTGTCATTATGCCTCCGTTACGAAGTAGCCGGAGGCATTATGTTTTCGGGTTGTCCGTCCGTCCGTCCGTCTGTACGTACGTACGTACGTACGTCCCGTTCTCGTGATCGCGTTATCTGAAGAACCAATTGATGGATTCCTGCCAAACTTTGGTCATGTATGTATCTTGCAGAGCTGATGAACTGATTAGATTTTGGGGTTACGAGGTCAAAGGTCAAAGGTCACAGGGCTCATTATGTATGCAAAAACAGCTCGTGATCGCGTTATCTGTATCTGAAGAACCGATTGATCGATTGCTGCTAAACTTAGGTCATGTATGTTACTTGCAGAGCAGATGAACTGATTAGATTTTGGGGTCACGAGGTCAAAGGTCAAAGGCCACAACGCACATTATGTATGCAAAAACAGCTCGTGATCGCGTTCTCAAGAACCGATTGACAGATTCCTGCCAAAATTAGGTCATGTATGTTACTTGCAGAGCCAATGAACTGAGTAGATTCTTGGTTCATAAGGTCAAAGGTCATGGGCTCATTATGTATGCAGAAATAGCTTGTGAACACATTCTCATTAGAACTGACAGATGGATTACTATTTAACTCAGGACATCTTGCAGAGCCAATGAACTGAGCAGATTTTAGGGTCATGAGGTCAAAGATCAAAGGTTCATATATGTATATGAGAAATTGCTTGTAATCACGATATTCTGAGAACCTGTTAATGGATTACAATTGAACTTGAATTCGAAAAATGTGTTCTGTTTTGGTTTGTAATATTGCTCTATGACGGAGGCATCATTTTCGACTGCGTGCAGTCGAATTCCATCTAGTTTTATTCCATAAAATACATTTAGGCACTAGTGGTAAGATTGTAATATGATAAGGCACACAACAGCTTTTTTTAGATGGCAAAATGAATATATCAAATTATGAGAAACAAAGTCGAAAGCATTCAAAGTAAATATTATTTTTATTTTCGAGAATAAAACAATGTTCATCTCAAAATTCATTTCCCAAATAGTCCTATATTTGATTTGCATATTTAAAAGAAAGGGCATTTAGCGTAGATCATGGCATAATGTTGGTATGAATATAGTAATAAAATGTGTCGAAAACCCATGTACAACAAAGGCTTAGGCCTATTATTTATGGCTCGGTTGATAATCGGCCGAGCTTTAGCAGACGACAATCATTGACAATGGGGGAATGAATGTAGGTATCGACCGATTTGCGTGTGCAGTGGTGCTTACGCAATTTGTATTGTGAGTGTATTGAAAAGGAAAGACATGAAGCTTCAACAAAATAAGACGGCAATTTCCCTCAAAAATAACAGACCTTATTTTTCGTATTGATGAACAAAACTTATATTTTTAGAAAGAAAAAAGTCTGATCTTTCATTTTTACATTTACAAAAAATCACAAAAATGACTGAATGGGGCGCAATGAGCATTGAAAGTAGAAAGTACCACCAATTTTTCCATTACTGGCGATGTAACCGAAATCGATCCGTCACAGGGGAAACAATCGCCTTGCGCGGGCTCGCTTTCAAAGGGTTAAGTAAAATGGAAAGTTTACTGGTATGTAAAACTTATTGATGGATTAATGTAGAAGAAAAAAGAAAAAAATGGAGAGGAGATAAATATTTTAAAACAAAATCTACAGAACTGATGACATTCATACAGGACATGAGAAGTTTTCAGTTTGACTGGTTAGAGATAGACAATTTACAGTTTAGAAAGATTTGTGACAGCTGTAGGCAAACAAATAACATAACACATTCATACTTAGTTGTGATTTTATATAGTTGCAAGATATCATAAGGTTTAATGAATCGTAAGTACATTTATCTTTTGTTACCAGTTACCAACTCTGACAATACGCTTTTCATGTTATCAACTTGACCAATTTAGTGAATCATTCATGTATGGACCTCCTCTTTTATGAAACGCTTCTCTCAGCTGCCTGGACCGGATCCCACAATAAGAGGAACAAACAAATTTTAAGAAGTAACTACTCCCGAAGATTACCGTTTTGAAAGAAGACGATGTAGGCCTAAACGTAGGTCAATCTACATGACAATACAAACAACCACTCTAACTTATAAACCTTTATGAGGGCATGTAATCATTTTAGAGCAGGTTTGAGTTATAGGTATAGCCACAAATATGAGATTTTTCCTGGGCAAAGATGCTACCATTGTTGAAAAAAAGCAATTAAGACAACATAAATAATTTAAAACAAAATCTACAGAACTGATGACATTCATACAGGACATGAGAAGTTTTCAGTTTGACTGGTTAGAGATAGACATTTTACAGTTTAGAAAGATTTGTGACAGCTGTAGGCAAACAAATAACATAACACATTCATACTTAGTTGTGATTTTATATAGTTGCAAGATATCATAAGGTTTAATGAATCGTAAGTACATTTATCTTTTGTTTTATTACATAGCAATGTGCCATGAATTCACATGCATTTACAATGATATTGAATTCAAAGTATGGAGTATAAAAGTATAAATTAATAATAATCAATATGATGAATTCAATGTCTCATTTCATGATATATTCCACACATCATTTAAAAAAATAAATAGAATTTACATGCATTTACAAAGATATCACAATAAAATTATATATAATGGATCTCAAATGTTACTTGCAGAGCCAATGAACTGAGTAGATTCTTGGTTCATAAGGTCAAAGGTCATGGGCTCATTATGTATGCAGAAATAGCTTGTGAACACATTCTCATTAGAACTGACAGATGGATTACTATTTAACTCAGGACATCTTGCAGAGCCAATGAACTGAGCAGATTTTAGGGTCATGAGGTCAAAGATCAAAGGTTCATATATGTATATGAGAAATTGCTTGTAATCACGATATTCTGAGAACCTGTTAATGGATTACAATTGAACTTGAATTCGAAAAATGTGTTCTGTTTTGGTTTGTAATATTGCTCTATGACGGAGGCATCATTTTCGACTGCGTGCAGTCGAATTCCATCTAGTTTTATTCCATAAAATACATTTAGGCACTAGTGGTAAGATTGTAATATGATAAGGCACACAACAGCTTTTTTTAGATGGCAAAATGAATATATCAAATTATGAGA